TGCTTTTGACTCTAAACCAATAGTTTTCATAATGTGTTAGTGGCGGAACGCCTTTATCAAATGGAATCTTGCACAGACTCAGAATCTAGCAAGTAGAATGGAGAGTGGAGATGCTCTGTCGGTTAGCCACTCCGTGGCGTAAAAGCTGATGTTCCGTAAGGCGAAGTCAGGGAGAAGGGGGAGTTTTCTATGCAACTTTAACACACTGGAGGGGAAAGGTACTACCCCATTGAAGAAGCCAAGGAAGTGGGCATAAGTTGGAGCAAGACAAGCCCCAAAGATGGTGATGCCCCCTGGCCTCTGCCAGTGGGGGCCGAGCGCGTGGTTGGTGGTCAGCGAGGACGGCACCAGGGAGCCTGTGACCTTGCACGTGGGCCTGCCAGGGGTGCATGGGCATCAGCAGTTCAGGCTGGTAGTAATTTGAAGGGTATGAAGGGGCAGGAAAAGCCCCCTGTGGCCAGGATGTTAGGCTGGAGAGCTGGCAAGCTGAGGCCACCCCAGGGTTTGGTGGGGGGTGGGTACCAAGTGAGAGGTGCCCACCCAGACCCAAGGGGACACAGGAAGCAGGACAGAGAGGGCCGGTCACAGGCAAGGCCTGAGCACTGGTGTGGGCTGGCAGGCTGGGTGGAGAGGCAGACAGGGAAAAGTATCAGCTGTGCCCATCCTCTGGGCCCACAGAGACACACTTGGTCTGCGGGGTCAGCCAAGGGAGTAATAGTAGTGAGAAGCCAGCCCAAGCCCTGAGGAGACTGGAGGTGCCGCGTGGCTACCATTGTGTCCCCGCACTGCATCCACACTTGCTGCTTGCTTGGTCGCATCGGAGCAGCCGTGGCTGCAGCCGCTCACTCATCTCATTCCTCATCCTCATCTCTCGTGCTTCCTACATTTGCCACCTCCCCGCCCACCCGCAGCGCCGGGTCAGAGCTGCTCAGCCCCCTCCGCTCTGCCCTCTGCAGGATGACATGCACAGGGTCATTGACCGACAGCTGATGGACACGCACCTGAAGGAACAGAGCCGGCCTGCTGCTGCCCTCTCCAGGGCCCACGGCTCGGGGCGTGGCGATGAGCCCAGCACTGCCGAAGGCAAACGGCTCTTCTCATTCTTCAGGAAAATTTAAACTGGGAGGAGTCAGGCCAGCAAGGATGGGTGCACTGGAGGCGACTGAAAAGGGGGCATGTGAGCAGCGCACCATGTGTGCACACCAGACCCCACCCCCGGGCCAGGCTCAGCGGCCGCACTGCCCACCCACACAGGGGCCAAGTCGTCCAGGAGGGCCCACTTGGCCTCTGAAGGCTGCTCTCAACAGAGGGACGGGCAGGAGCCTTGTCCCCACTGCCTGGCCACGCCCAGCCTGGGCTTCCCTGGGATCCGCTGCTGTGGAGCAGGGCTCGGACTGCCTCCAGAGTGGCCCCTTGGTTGGGCTCTGCTGCTCAGACCTGATGGATCACAACCCACCCCGCCTACCCCTCAATGACTCCCGTGCCCAACCCCAAGCACCGTTGCCCTTCTGCTTTGGAATACGGGGAACGGAAGAAATGGAGGCCCTTTCTGCATGTCTCAGGAGGCCCTGGCTGCCCCCAGCTGGTCTGAGCCACGGGGGCCTAGTCCTGCAGGACACCAGGCCCCAGCCTGAACCCCACCCTCCCAGCAACGCCTGGCCCAGGGAGGAAGCAGCCCCTCACCCGCGTGCATGCACCTCTGCTGGAGCACCTACGGGCCAGGAGCCCCAGCCTGCGGGGCCTGACGGCTAGGGCTACTCTCGCACTCGGCCTCAGCGGGCCCTGCCGGGGCTGGGCTGAGGCCACCCCGAGCCTAAGAGGAAGAAGGGCCTGCCCCAGCCCCTGCCACTGCTGCCCTCCCTCCCCCACCCCCTCCAGTGCAGGCCTTCCTCCTCAACGGGGCCCTCTGGAGGCTTAGCCCTCAGCCCTCTCCCCTTCCTGGCTCCAGGGCTGAGAGGGGTCTGCTCCTCCCACAGGCCCCTGGCACCCCTTACCTATACAAGTTCTTGACTCGGCCAAGCAAGTCCAGGCCACAGAATGGCTCCAGAGGGGTCTGTGTGGTCAGCCACTCCACCTCAAGGGCAGTGTTGGCACCACAGGGTGGACGCCTCCACATGCTGCCCACAGAAGGACCAACCCAGCGACCCGACTCCTGATCCTTCCTCAGCGACCACTTCACCTTCTCTGCTGAGGCCCTGACTCAGAGGCACCCGGACTGAGCCAGCCCGCAAGCCGCTTTACAAAGGCTCGTCTCCCTCCCTCATATGGGAAAAGCACAGCAGGGATGAGTGGAAAGAATGTACCTATAGATATGTACATACCACAGTGCTGTAATTTTGTATGTAGCAATCATGTAAATACATGTATGGATTTTATAATATACATATTATATATGAATCTATAAAGGCATATTTTTAGAAAAACAGCACACCACTGCTTCTTTTGAAAATAGTCTCAAGAATAAAATGAATTTCTACAGAGCTTCTCGCCTCAGTCACTGGGTACCTAGAGGGGGTGTTTGGGCAGAATGCAGCTTTACGTTTTCGAAACGCTGGCTGGCTGGCTGGCTGGCTGTGAGTGAAAAGGCAGTGATAGTGAGTCACCCATGCACCTGGGAGGTCACCTCATGCGTTGGTGCAAAATCAGTGGATTCAGCCAGGAAAAGGCACCTCCCCTGGAGAGTGGAGGCAGCCCATCAGTGACAGTTGTTTTGTGAGCAGTGACCCAAGGCATCATGTCTACGCCCACCCTGGCCCCGGGCTCCCTGCCAGCGCCGCAGCTGCCCAGCTACAGGCAGGCCCTGCCAGCACCGCTTACCAAGCCGTGAGCAGATCCAACAGCTTGGCAGAAACTCTGAGGCAGAAAGAAATCACTGTAGGCAAAGCTTCCACTGAATCCTTCTGGGCACACGGAGAATAAACATGGCATTTCCCCTGGCATCTTACCATGTGTGCTCCCAGCCAGAGGGGAAGCTCAACCCGGACCCACCTTTCATGGAGAAAACAAACTTGGCTTCTGAAAGCATCCCTGAGCCTTGATGGGCACCTGTGCAGGACTCAGACCAGAACAAACAAGAGCTGGACACAGTGGGTGGGAAGCAGCCAGGCCCACCCAGAGCACAGCTGGAGGAGAGGAAACAGACCCTGGAAGAAAATCTGGCAGCTTGAACCTTTATTTTTAGTATTTTTTTAAAAAGCATAATTAGAAACTTTCAATACAGAAATAATCCTAGCAAACCATTTAAAAGTTTTGTTGTTCAACAGGAATTTCACATCAGGTCCACCAGGATGCCGGTCCAGCCCTGAATTCCCCCTCCCCCACCCCCCATTCATGTGTGTGACACTCAGCGGGAGAGGCACACTGTCATCACCAAATCACCCCACCACCTGGGTCTGGATGTCCAGTTGCCAGAAGCCACGGTGGCTTCTAGCCTGGGCTGGAAACTTCCAGGACCCCCTCCTCTTGCCGCTTGAATTTGCAAGCACTGCCACACCAGTGTCACCTCAGAGCCGAGCTGTGGCCCACCCAGGAGGCCTGAGCTCTCCACACCCTCCACGGGACCTGTGGTCGCCAGGACGGTCCTGAGGATGGAGACCAGGCTGTGGCTCCCAGCACCCCAACCAGACAGGGCTACCTGCTGTCACCCCCACAGCACCGCCTTCCCAGGCCCAGCGCTCCCACCTCATCCTGTGGCTCCAAAGTGAAGGCCTGTCACACAGAACTATGGGCTTTTGGCAGTTTGGGGAAGTGGAGAGACAGGTCAGAAGAAACCCCCAGTTTTTATTGATTGAAAACCCATCAACAGTGACATGGAAAATGTGCAGTGAGATCTGTGATGTGATTGTCCAATCAGGGCTTGGCCTGGAAATCACCTAGGAAAGGAAATCTCGTAAAACACATCATGGTGTTGAAATAAATTATTCCCAGGTTACGTGATCCTTTTAGAGGAAAGGTGAATGAAGCGTCTCAAGGGGGTGGGGGTGACAGTCATCAAGTGCAGACGACCCTGGTTTCTCCTCCAGGGCACCACAGTGGGTCAGAGCCGGCTCCCAGCCCCAGCGGCCATTCCTTCCCATTCACTAAGAAATCCTCATGCTACCTTTGTACTAAAACAGTCCTGTCAGTGATCCAAGGCTGCCTGCGTGCAGCTCAAAGACATTGTCCCCACAGCCCAGCGGCCCCTGGCACCCACTCTCCACACTCAAAGGTGCCTGGGGCTGCATCGGAGACCCAGGACTCAGCGGGAGGCCCTGGGCCGACAGAGACCGGGGTGGGAGGCCCCTCCTTTCCCACCAGCAAACCACCGGGAAGGCAGAGCAGCTCGGCCAAGAGCCCGGCTCCACGATGACAGGAAGCTATTCACTTTTTCTAAAGACATTGGACCCAAAGTGGGGCGGCCACAACTTTGCTGCTGTGCCAACCAAACCTCAGTAAGAGAAAAAGAGTATGAGGAACTTAATTCATTTGATTTGGCTTCATTTTTCTTTATCTGTTAAAATGATGCTCCTTAGTCCCCCTGCAAGCCCGTCCCTGCACAAACACACCCCTACCTTTCTCTTGGAACCAAAACAGGTTGGTATATAAATTAGAAGCCATGGCTCCCTTGGGTTTGTAGCTCAGAGGCATCTGGAAGGCAGGACAAGAAATCCGTTGGCCAAAGGGCAGGAGTGACTCCTTCCGTGGAAATGAAGGGCCAGGCCTCTGATGGGAACCCCAGGCCCCCTTCAAGGCCAGGTTCCCCCAGCTGCCAGAATGGTTACAGGACGGGATGGGGAGGGGAGGGAGCTGGGCCGGCAGAGGCCCTGAACAGGGGTGAGCCCCTACATGCCAGGGACAGACACCGACAGCCTGCAGGAGAGAACGAGTCACGTGGAGCCCACTTCACCAGCCCAGGTTGGCAAAAGGTATGTCTAGAATGTAATCCTGTCCCCTCAGGAAGCTGCTGGCAGTAAGTTGGGGTTGGGTGGGGAGGGGGTGTCGCAGCAGGCTGGCATTAGGGAGGCAAGAGCCAGAGCAGGACAAGGGTGATGCGCTGGTTAAAGCAATATACATTATGTACAAACTCCGGTTAATCAGTCCGCTTGGCTGGCAGCGTCCTCGCCGGGCCCAGGCGCCTTGGCCGGGGGGGCAGGGGCGCCAGAAGGGAAGGGCAGGCTGTCCAACACCTTCTTGGCACTCGAGGGGGGAGGGGAGGAAGTGCTGATGGCGCCTCCCGGTACAAAAACGTGGAGAGAATTCTTTAAATAACGGCACAAAAGAGTGTCCCCCGAGGAGAGGAGCCCCCTGGCCTGGGGCAGGGGGAGTGGCCGCAGTGCAGTCTCTGCAGTGGGCTGGGGGCATTAGCAGCAGCGTTTCTTTCGTTTACTGTTCTTCGTGAGCTTCACCACATCGTTCTGTTGTTGCTGCTGCTGTTTCGCTAAGTTGTCTTTCTTTGCTCGGAGGACCAGCTCTGTGATGCAGTTGAACATCTGTGAGGGTGAAGGAGGCAGGGCAGGCCTCAGACCAGCGTGGAGGCCCCATCACAGCGTGGCCACCTCCCTGCCTCCCCGGGCCCAGCTTTCTAGTTCTACTGGTGAGTTTTTTTTGTATGTGTATCTTCAAACCCTATCTAGAAGGAGGTGGTGAATTATAAAGGTCAAAGAGGAACAACATCAAAGACCTCTGAGCTAGTCTCAGGGAAGGGGTTTTCCAGTCTTTCTCTTAAAGGAGAAGAACTGCTTTCCTTCAGTTGGACTCCAGACAACACAGATAAAGGTGCCCCTGCGACGGACCAGAAGCACCCAGAGCCTGCCCGCTCCACGCTACCTCCCTGCACACCCTGCCAAGAACCTTCCCCGGACCACCCCACGGCTCTCCACTTCTGGGAAAGGTGGCAAGTATGTGACATAACTTGCTTCACTCATTCCCGCAACCCGGGAGGCAGAGGCTCTCACCCCACCCCAATCTACACAAGCAACAGTGGAGCGTGGAGAGGACTCAGGGCCCCACCACAGGCCCCTAAGTGGAAAAGCCCACGCTGTTGACCCTAGCCTGACGCAGGCGCCCGGGGTCCCTGCCATCAGGCAGCCCGAGCCCAGGATGCAATGGGATCTGGCGCCCCTGGGCTCCACACCCCACAGGCAGGACCATCCCGAAGCCATGAGGGCAGCCAGCCCGGGCTTGTGGCAAAAGGTCCTGCTTTTCTCCAAAGACTCACAAGCGCTTTCCAGCAGCTGCAGCATTAAGTGACAGGAGGCTGCCCTGGTCCAGAGGCCCAGCCAGTCTGAGGGGATGTGCCTCCCCAGATGCCTCAGGGGGCTTGCCCGGACACCCACCCAAGCAAGCTCTGGAGGCCACAGGAAAGCTAGCTGGTCTCTGCAGGAGGCCCAGGCCCCAAGGAAAGCCAGAGAGCAGGAAGAGGTGACAGTGGGGAGGGACTGGGAGGCAGAGGACTGAGTGGACACTGTGCACAGCTGTGGTGTGGAGCACGTCATAGTTTGAGTCAGCTGCTCACGAACTGGAACCTGTTTCCCATTTGAAACATGGGACTAATTTACCTCAGAGGACTGTTGAGATATGAGGTGGCACCTGTAGAGAGCCTAGCACAAGGCCTGGCACACACAGGAGGCACTCAATCAACGGCCGTTACTGTGACGTTTTCTGTCGGCCACCTGGATGCCCCGGGCAGGCCAGGGTGGGGCAAGGAGGCCATGGTGGTGGAGCAGAGCTGGGCCGTGCTCACCCCCTGCCCCTCTGGCGCAGGTCTCACCTCTTCCACGTTGACATTCTCCTTGGCGCTGGTCTCAAACAACTGGATCCCCATCTGCCCGGCGAATTTGTGGGCGTCTTCTGTCTCCACCACCTTCCGCTCAGGGTCGTCATTCTTATTCCCCACTTCAAGGCAAAGCAGGGTCAGCCCAGCCCCGTGGGAACGCCCTGCCACCCTCCATTCCACTGTCTACCCTGCTGGGTCCAGCCTCACCTAGTATCCGGCACACGTCATCACAGTTCTGGTTGATTTCATGAAGCCACCGCTTGACGTTGACAAAAGATTCAGCGCTGGTGACGTCATAGACCACGATGACCCCGTGGGTCCCCCGATAATATCTGTAGGGCCAGGGTCTGCGTCAGAGCTTCAGCCTAAACAAGAGTAGCCCCTTCGCAGGACCCGTCTGCCCGCATCCAGACAGCGGCTGGGAAACGGCGAGGGGGCGAGTGCTTTCCCCCAGCACGCCTGGTGTCTCCTCTCCCTCCGGCCTCGGCTGGACATCCAAAGCCCAGACAGCAGGTAGGACGCTGGCAGCACTGCTGCTCATGCTGCTCCCCAGGCACGGTAAGTAGGGAGCGCTCGGCCCTGCGGTGGCCAACCAAATTGTTCAGAGGCTGCCAACAGCTTGAAACTTCTTTGAAGTTGTTTTATTTTTAAAATTCAGGTGATGTTTGCATTTGACATCATATTACCACTGTCCTCTTTTTAACATTCAAAACTTTTTTCTGTCCTCAAATCTGTCATAGTAAAATGCCATTCCAAGAACACACACCACTTGTGAAGCCTGCCAAGGTCTGTTCTCACTCCCCTGGGGGCAGGTGGGCACCTCCCCTCCTGCCACTCCAGGCTCATCCAGGCCGGGGGGCAGGTAGGGCATGGAAATGACCTGGGCATCAGGACGCATCCAAAAGCACAGACGCCAGCGCCTAAGGTCAGCTGGAAGGTCTGCAAGGCAGGAGGATGTGAACATTCCTCTCCAGACGCCACATCCCCCTTCACTCACATGGTTCTGGAGGACATCAACCCTGGAAGGAAGAGGAGGACAGAGCCTCACACTTCTCCAGAGAGCCTTCACTGACCCAGCGGCCAGGTGACACCCCCTGCCCTGACACATCACATCACCCAGCGCTGCAGAGATTGTCACTCACCAGGGGCTTCTGAGAACAACGAGGGTAAGAACCACTGCCTGCAACAGGCCGTGCTCACGGGTAGACGGGGACTCCCCCCGCACCCAGCCAGCCCATAGCGCCTCTGCCTTCCCGGGGCTCATCAGGGCCCCCAAGCCCGTAGGAAAGCAGCCCCTCCCAGGTGGCGGTTCTGAGGCACCACAGGCTGCACGAGGATGGGGCCAACCAAGCTGGCAGGTGCAGCTGTGCTCTCACCTGCCTGCCCGTCAGCACTCTGGCCGACCCCTCACAGTCGAGGCCCGATCACAGGACACAGGTCAAACGAGCTCCAGCTATGAAAGGCTGTGGGGCCCTGGGAAGGTTACTGCGTGCACCTCATGGCACCTCGGTTTCCTCAACTGTAAAATGGGGGTACTAGGACTTAACTCTTGGGGTGGTTGTGAGGACTGAGATAATACATATTTCCACAAGGGCCAGCTCTTTATTATCACTATTACTATTCCTTCAGTGACAATCTGGGCCCCCGACACAGATGGAAGAAAACCAAGGGACAGCATGGCAGGCAGCAGCGACAGCAGCTTCCCCGGGCCGGCCACCAAGGCAGTGAGAAAAGCCCAGCCTCTCTCGCGACCCCGGCTCTCCACCCTCAGACACCCGCTGACATCCCCCAGGAGCTTCATCCGCCCGCAGCTCTGCCTTCCTGAGGACACAGCGCCCTGCCCTGGGGAGCCTGAACAATCAAGCCATCCAGGCCCTGCCCCTCCCTGCCCCCTAGAGCACCAGGTCATCACCTGGGTCCACCTGGTGGACACCCACCTGAGCAGGTGCAGGAGAGCATGCCAGGAACCGGTGAGGACAGATGATTGTCCCCCTCCAACAAAGGACATGCGAGCAGTGGACTGTGTTTCCAGACCCTCCTTTGCTGAAGACAGTTGAAGATGCCAAGAAATACCTACAGCCGCAGCCCCAGCACAAGCCCCCACTGCTCCCCGGGACCCTCCGCCTTCTCTGGGACCCAGGCAAGGGGGTGTCACCCGAGAGAACCAGTCCGGAGCTCAGAGCTCGGGCAAGGAGGGCACCGGTGTGCTGGGCTTCCACCTCCTCCTCCATCAGTCATCACGTCCACGCGCCACAACTTGGCTCTATGCCAGCACAGCGCCGGTGCTTCACACCCACGACCTTACTGATCTTTGCCACACCTGGTACAAGACAGGAGGGTCACCACGTCACCAGTGAGGATGTAAGGCTGAGTGGAGTGAACTGCTGCAAGCCACAGCCTGGGTCTGAGCCCAGGGCCAGGTACGGAAGGGGCTTCCCTGCCTCCACCTCGCCCTCTGCCCTCAGCACCCCACCCCAGCCCGTGCCCCCAGCCACACACAGCTCAGGGTCAGTGAACCCCAGCCACCAGGAGGCAAGAAACGGTGAGGGGGACAACAGGGCATTCTCAGCAGGCTAACAGGATGCAATTTTAGTTTCTCTTTTAATGCCCTGAATCAGAAAATGCCACGTTATTGCCCCCAGATTGCCCCAGTCCTTGGAAGAGAACAAACTCCTGAAACAAACTCCAGACTCCTTCCCTCAGCCCCCAGGCAGGCCCGCTGGCGTGCGGCACTCCCCCTTCCCATGCAAACCCAGATTGCCTGCAGGCAGCGGAGTTCTCCCCCAGAGGATGAGTGAGGCAGTTCACCCTCTTCCCGATGCCCTGAAAGGAGCTGACCTCAGGATGGCCGGCCGCGCAGGGCCGTGCTTCTCTGCTGAAAGGGCTCAGGCTCCCCCGCCCCACTGCCCTGCCTGGAGCATTTCTTGTGGCCACAGGCCCAGTATCCTCAGATGCCCTGAATTCCCTGACTGGTTTTTACCCACAGGAGGCACCAGAGCATCTGTCGTCTGCCTCAGCCCCAGCCCCAGTCCCTTGGCAGTGGAGGGCCAGCAGAGAGCAGGGCTGTGGACCAGTTAAAGGCAAGAGCTTCGGCATCAGCCAGACCTCAGTTCAACTCCTAACCAAGCAAGCTAGGTTACTTCACCCTCTCTGGGCCTCAGTTTTCTTGTCTGTAAATTGGAGATAATCACAGGACTTTTTATCAGGATTAAATGAAACGAAGCAGGTAAAGTCCTTGGCGACAGTCCCAGCCCAGAGTAAGGAAGGATATCTGGGGTCAGTGCCTGTTCCTCCCGACCCCGACAAGAGGTCTTGGTCTTATTCAGGCCTAGATGCTTGGGCTGCCCAAAGCTCATGATGTCTATCCTACCCCAAGGACCCCCTGACCCCAGCTGCCCTCCTTAGCTGAGGCCTCACTGGCAGCTGCCAAGACACAAGGGGGCTCAGGCAGCTCATCGGGAAGTTGCAGAGACCTGCCTTGGGCAGCCCCCAGGACGGGGGACCCCCGGGGTCTCGGGGAGTCACAGATCCTGGCTCGTGTGCTCACCACAGGCCTGGCCCAGTGACAGAAGCCCGCCCCCGCTCCAGGCCTGCTCAGGCTCTGGCCCCTTGAAGCCCCTTGACCAGGGCCACCCACCCACCCACCCAGCCGGCACCCCTGGAGATAATCACAGGACTTTTTATCAGGATTAAATGAAACGAAGCAGGTAAAGTCCTTGGCGACAGTCCCAGCCCAGAGTAAGGAAGGATATCTGGGGTCAGTGCCTGTTCCTCCCGACCCCGACAAGAGGTCTTGGTCTTATTCAGGCCTAGATGCTTGGGCTGCCCAAAGCTCATGATGTCTATCCTACCCCAAGGACCCCCTGACCCCAGCTGCCCTCCTTAGCTGAGGCCTCACTGGCAGCTGCCAAGACACAAGGGGGCTCAGGCAGCTCATCGGGAAGTTGCAGAGACCTGCCTTGGGCAGCCCCCAGGACGGGGGACCCCCGGGGTCTCGGGGAGTCACAGATCCTGGCTCGTGTGCTCACCACAGGCCTGGCCCAGTGACAGAAGCCCGCCCCCGCTCCAGGCCTGCTCAGGCTCTGGCCCCTTGAAGCCCCTTGACCAGGGCCACCCCCCCACCCACCCAGCCGGCACCCCTGGACACCCCGACACTCCCAGCCACCACCGTGGGGGCTCTTCGACCCTCACACTTCCCACCCCTCAGATCCTGAGCCACCTCTTGGATGGGTGGCCAGCCGGGGGTCCGCCCCATTTTCACCCTGCCGGGAGGAGACAACACTTCCTCGTGCCTTCCCAAGAGCCCCACTCACACAGGCTCTGCTGGGGGAGGCAAAGGAGAGGCCTATGGAAGGAGCGACTACTCCAGGCCAGGCGCTGGCTCCTGCTCTGCACACACCACAGTGTGGAGCGCAGGCGCTGCCCATCACAGGGAGCGGGACCCCCTCGGAAGCTCCCTCGTTTGTAAAACAGGGGTGATGAGAGTACCAGCTGCAGGGAGCTCAATGGAATCATCCATGTTCACACGTGGATGTCCCCAAGTACGCTGGACTCGGCATTAAAGCAAATCCCAAAGACAAGCCCCCTGGGAAACTGAAGCATAGAGTTTAGGCAACTTGCCCAAGGTCACACAGCAGAGCAAAAATGTAAATTCCCAAGTGTCTGCCTTCATAGCCCTGCTCTTTCCTGGAACCTGTTCCATTAATCAACAGCCACTCCACAGGACCCCTGCTGCCTGGAGCTCCAGCTAGGTTTTCCTCCTGTTTACAGCTAAGAATCACAAAAGGTACTGCAGCAGCAAAGGAGGACAGCCCTCAGCGTGAGCTGGGTTCCCAGTAGACAGCTTTGGGGAGGAGGGGCCACCCAACGGCCTCCTACCTACCAGTGCTCCTTCCAGGCCTCCCAGCAGAGGGAAGCCCCCTCCCGGAAGTCAGGGTGGTGACGGGAGCCTGCACGGCTGACCCCACGACCCCAGCTGTCACAGCTGACACCTAACAAGAGCACTGTCATTGCCTGTTTCACCACCTGGCAAAGCCAACATCACCACTGCTACCCCATTTTAAAGACAAAGGAACCAAAGGCCAGAGGGTCAGCGGACTGGCGCGTGCTGTCCCGCCACGCCCCCTCCTCTTCTTGCAGCCTCAGGAAGAGGAAGGACCCCACTTGACACCACCCACTGCAGCCGGCAAGGAGCTCACCTCCCAACAGTCGCGGGGGCCCGCCCCAGTGGCATTTCTATCGTGACCCGGCACTAGTGGCTCAACTGTGTCTGAATGTCGGTGGCAAGGGGCCTGAGCAGGAGCGGGGCTGGCCTGACTCACGTGGAGGTGATGGTGCGGAAGCGCTCCTGCCCGGCCGTGTCCCAGATCTGCAGCTTCACTTTCTCCCCGTTGATCTCCACAGTCCGAATCTTAAAATCCACTCCGATCGTGGTGATGTAACTGCCTGCGCACACACAGGTGTTAGCAGGGCCCACAGGCCACCCTGGTCAGACCACACCCTAAATGGCACAGGTGACCCTGGGCTCCACCATCCCGCCCCGCTCACTCCAAGTGCCTGGAGGACACAGCCCTGAACAAAAAAGACAAAGTCCGAGCCCCAAGGTGAGGGCAACAGACAGGATACAATGAAACAGTGATAAAGAAGACAATTTCAAGAGCAACGAGTGCCACAAAGGAAATAAAACAGGGGACGTGACTGGGGGGAGGGGACGTGCCCCTCTACTAGAGTGGCCGGGGCACGGACACGTTCACTGTGGCCTGGGAACTGTGGGAGCCTATGATGCATTCCGGGCTTCTCTTTTCTAGTCCAAACATTTTAAATGACCCACAAAATTAACTTCCTGAAACATAAACAAGTCATATGCACACTACTATATGTAAAATATATATATCTGTATACAAATAAAATAGATCACGAATAAGGACCTATTATATATATATAACAGGAAACTACTCTGTCATACTCTGTATGGGAAAAGAATCCAAAAAAGAGTGGATATATGTATTTGTATAACTGATTCACTTTGCTGTACAGCAGAAAGTAACACAACAGTGTAAATCAGCTATACTCCAATAAAAACTAAAAAAATAAAACTAAGTTCCGACCTGCAATTTGAAAAACGCTGCTCCAGGCAGAGGAGACGGCAGCAAATGTAGCCGGGGGGCGGGGGGTGGGGGTAGTGGCCTGAGGTCAAGCACACGGAGGGAGGCAGGTTGGGGGTAGAGGTGAGCAAGGCCAGATCTTGGCCTTTGTGCCATTTTCAAGAGCTTGGACTTTCTCTTTTGTGTGTGACAGGGAGGCATTGAAGGGTTTAATCCAAGCATGAGAGCTGCACTGTAAATAGCTCTTTTGGGGCATCTGTGTGAAAGATGGAGTTAAAGAGAATTTCTGGCAACAGAATAGTCCTGTCCAGGCTTACAAAGGCCCGAATGCTAGAAGAGCCCACGTTCTCACTCCATTTGGAGCTGACAGTGTGACCCGGTGCCGCAGACAAGACACACACACAACTGACTCTATCAAGTGTGTAGAGTGGATAGGAAAGGTCAAAGTTTAAAGTGGGGTGGAGATCAAGGAAGGCTCTCGGGCACAAGTCACTTTTAGACCTGGCTTGAAAGAATAGGTATGATTTCAAAGGCTGAGATTAGCTGGGGGAAAGACATCCCACCCAGAAGAAAAGAACTGAGGCCGCACAGAGGACAAGGCGGCATCTGGCTCTCTGCGGGGACTGGATTACACCAAGGAGAGCAGCCCAGCACCTAGTGCTGTGGGCACTTGATACACAGCTGATGGCTGAATAAGTGAGCGAGCTAGTGAAAACACAAAAAAGCATGAACAGACAGCATGAGGTAGGAAGCTGGAAAGGTGAACTGAAGATAGATTATGAAGGCCAGTGGTTTTCAACAGAGGATTGTTGAGTCACCCCCCAGAAGACACTTGGAAATGTCTGGAGACATTTTTGGTTGTCACAACTGGGAGGGGGAAGGGTGCTGGCATCTAGTGGGTGGAGCCCAGGGATGCTGCTCAGCATCCTTCAATGCACAGGACAGTCCCCACAGCAAAGAACTACAGGGCATCAGTGGTGCTACAGTGGAGAAACCTTGCTGTGAACTCTGCTCACTTGAGAGGACCGCTGAGGTTTTTAAACAGAGGAAACCCTGCCAGAGACATGCACTAGCAAGATGAACTCAGCAGTCTGGTACAGGATGGGCAGGAGCTGCTGTAATGCTTTGGGCTAGAATCAACAGTAGTCTGAACTGGTAGTAGAAATGGAAAGGAGGAGAGAGGTTGCAAAAGAGTTGAGAGCTGACAGGAGGGGGAGTCAGAGGGACATAAGGAGGAAGAGGAATGTTTTCCAGCACAGTGCGAAGTGCCCACTAGTCACCATTCTCGAACAGGAGACAACGACAAACCCCTGGTGTTTACTGAGAGATTACTTAGTCCTGGGGAATCCTCGCAGTAACCCTGCGTGGGAGGGATGGGGATCGGTCCCACTTTTAAAGATGAGCTGAGACTCGGTCACACTCATGGTCACATAGAGAAGACAACTCTTTCCAATGTCACGCCACCAGGGGTGTGCAGGGCCACTGTCAGGAGAAACCCACCTCTCCCCTCCTCAAGAGAGAGGCGTCCACCACGTAATCAATTCCTAAGTGAAGCTCGCCCCTCGATTGCATCATGGGAATTCCCAGAGGTAGTCACACATCAGTCCTCGATCAGAGAGGCCAAGACAGCCCAAAGCCTCTGCACTGAACCTGATGTGCTCGACCAATGAAAATGCGCCCCACTTCACCAGTGATCAGGGAAACACAAGATTGAACGAGCAGCACTTTCTGCCTATCAGCTGAGCAAAAATGAACACCACTAAGACCTAGTACCGATCAGCATTGACAAGGGGCTCTTTAGACCCCTTCAACTTAGTACAGCTTCTGTGAAAGGCGAACTGGCAGTACCTGTGAAAACTTTAAAAGCACATACCCCCTGACCTAGTAACTCCACTTCTATGCAAGAATAAACACACAGTGTGTCCCAAGAAATACAGCACCACTTAAAATAGAGGCAACTAGAAAGCATGCACGCATCAAGAACACTGTTATGAACGATGTGCATCCCTGAACAGCCCAGGAAGCTGCACAGCCATTCAAAAGTACCACAGGTCTGCATGTAGACGTGCAAGGATGATCCTTGATATGCCGAGGGGAAGGCAAGTGGCCGGCCCACAGCGTGTGGAGTCGAGTGAGAGACACATCACACTGAGCAGAGGCTACCAGGGCACCCAAGACGGGGGTGGGGCAGGGGGTGGGGAGCAGCGCTCCTTTTTCGCTGTATTGAGCCTTCCTGTTTGACACTTTATACAGGCATGTCCTAACTTGTCTTTTTCTTTCTTTTTAAAATGTTAGGACACAAAAAAGACCCTGAGTAGAAAAAGGATGGGCCTGCAGGAGGATTTTTTTTGAACAAGATAGATGAAGACTGACCACAGAGACTTCTAACCTACGCCCCCTCCTCCTCCTTCCCTGTCTGGCAATCAGAATGAGGACTTTTCTGACGTTAGGCAGAGGCCAGGGTGTTCTGGCGCCAGGGGAAGGGATGTTAAAACCAACACACCCGGCAGCATCCCAGGGACACACTCACCTGAGAAAGTGTTGTCTGCAAAACGTAACAGTAAACTGCTCTTGCCGACACCTGCAGGGGAGAAAGCAGGAGATGAGAGGAGGCCCAGGTCCCCACTCCAAGCCCTACCCCTCTTCAGGGAGATGGTCCCGAGTCCTAACTCTTCAGAGGCAGAGCAGCACCCATCTCCCTCCCCAACCAGCCTGCACCAGAACACCTCTCCCCTTGGATCTCTGACCTCTTCCTCCATCTCAGTGTAAGACACGAGCTGGGCCCGTGTGAGGGCCAGGCCCAGCAACCCCAAGGAAGAGACCCAACGACGGACACGAAGCAGGGGAAGGCTGACCAAGGGATACTGGTCCCAAGGTGTGTCTAGAATGCAGTCCCTGGAAAACGCACATCACATGTGGAGCTTCGGTTTGGTGAGAGCCAAGGGGCTGCATGGCTGCAAAGCACCCTGGAGATCCTCAGGGCTATTCTGCACATGAAGAAAGTGAGGCGCAGACAACTTGAACCGACTGTCGGCCACCTTCACCCCGGCTGATGCCACGGGTGGCTACATGGGCGGCGAGGGGGGCGCCTGCCTGACACCCCTCAGCTCAGGGGTGCTCAGGGTGCTCAGACCATTTCACTTCCCACAGTCTCTCCTGTTCCAAGAACAGGCAGAACCGTCGTAAGGGTGGCTTCCCTTTACTTCAACACACGGCAGCTTTAGCCTCCAGGTGCACCTGTCCTGTGCCCTGTGTCCTCCTGTCCCTGCCCCTGCCCACCCCCCCAAGCCAGCTGGGTCAACCGAGCACAGAAGGAAAGCACTAGCACACGCAGGGCACTGCGTGTGGCCGGCACTCAGATGTTCCTGTAAGTCCAGCTGCATCTATTAAGATGAGGTATCAGAGGCTCCAAGAAGCTACACGGCTGGTCTAGGGGCCTCGGCAGGGGCGTGGAGCTGGATCTGAATCCAGGGCTGTCCACCCTGGAGCTCCACGGCTCTTGCCAATACGTGCTGCTTGGGAGGTCTTCTTGCATCTGCTTCGGGAAGTGGAACAAAAAAACCCAAAGTGGCTCCTGTGTCCCATGCCTGTCAGAGTCTTAGCAGCAGTGCTATCAAAGCTAGACGAGAGAAGATCTTAACCCAGGGTCTCAGACCCCACGCCTACGCCCCCAGCTAAGAGCGAACTTTGAGTGTGTGTGCCTGGCTGTGGGGAGGAACCCGTGCGCTCACCAGATACTCAGAGAGAGCTGCCGCTGCCCCATTCCCAGCTGACCCAGGCGTCCTCTCTGGGCAGTCCTCTCTGACGATCTCCTCTGGGGACCTCTCCAAGTGGGTGAGTCGCCCAGCGATGCCCAGAAGAACTTGTCTCATGGAGTGAACCGGGGTCTGACCATCCTGAAGACAGGCTGGGCGCAGCTCTGAGCAGACAGGTGCCGCAGCCCCGGTCCCCGCCGCTCAGCTGCAGCCTGCCGCGCTGGGGCCACTTCCTCTGCGAGGCTTCCTGCCCAGCCTGAGGAGAGCCCCAGTCCTGGGCTAGTCCTTCACGGCGCTCTGCCCAGCACCAACACCCCATCGGCCCTGCCGGCTCCTTGCTTCCTCCTGGAGCCTCCTGGCCCGCTTACTCAGCAAAAACCTTGTGTCTGGGCCACTGGGCCATGAGTTCCTCTAGGAAGGAGGTCTCACTCCACTTGCCCTGCACGTTCACGGGGCTGGAAGCTGGGCCCAGCACTCAGTAGGGGCCAACAAAACACTGTTTAGTGAATTTATGACTAAGCCAATGCCAACCACAGACAGCCATGCTACCCAACGCTACGGCTGCAGCAGTAAAAGGAGCCCAAGCAGTGGTGGTCAAACTTTCGGGGGGCGGCAGAATCCTTTTTTTAAGTTAAATGGTATCTGACTCACATACGTCTAAGGGCGGGGGGTGCTCTCTGCGTGAAGCAGGGAAGCAGCAGCGTCCCCCCACCTTGGCCTCTCCGGGTGCTCTTGGTTCACCCCAAGCTCATCTGCAGAGCTGCTCAAAACCACTACAGTCACCACGTCAATGGCTTCTTCAGGCAAGCACCCACCTCTGGCCTTGCTCTGCCCCCTGAAAGGAAGGGAAACCCACCCAGAGAAACACCGTTTCCTAAATATCCCCGAAGAAGCCACCTTAGGAACACACGCTGCTACCGTCCACCCTGCAGCACCCGCCCAGGGGAGGAAGTGACGGGTACCAATCTGCCTTCACCACAGCCGAAGTCAGCAGCTTTCCAAGGGCCATGTCCAGCACGCACCCCGACAGGCCAGCCCCATCATCCTCGACCCTGCAGAGAGCCCAGGCCCTGGCCCTCGATGCCTCTTGGTAGCAGGGAGACAGATTCTCTCTGCAAAAACCTTACCCCCCAACTCTCAGTCACCACTGCTCTCCCTGCATCAAACTCCTTCTTGCCCCTGCCTTCTGCCTCTTGCCCTACACAGATGCTCTGGTCCTCAAAATGCCTCCATAGAAGCCCCCACCCTTGGCCGTGCTCCTCCCTTGGGCTCTAGTTCCCTCATCCCTCTTTGCTTCGGTTCTAGACTGTTGGAAACCCTTAGACCTTTGAGTAAAGTGTTCTCAGGTTTAATCCTGGCTCAGGAACTAATTCCCTGTATAGGCTCAGACAGGTCACACACACACACCCCACCCCGAGCCTCAGTTCACTCATCTGTGAGGTCGAAAGCTTCAATTAGACCTTCAACAGCCACTGCGGCCTCCAGGTTCTAAGGATGAGTCTGGCTGGCCCCATGGATCGGACGAAATGCTGTTACAAATCAGAGCCAATGTCAGAAGAGCATAAGAGAGAGTATACAATCTTAGGCACAAACAAGAGCTGCAAAAGCTGAGGGGTTGTATTCCAGAAGCATGTACAATGTGGCAGAGTGGGAAGAAGAGCTCGAGATTTATACAGAAAGAAACTTACTCATTGAGGGCCTACTATGTGCCAGGCCCCACACCAGCTGCTCACAAAGCGTCATGTGCATTAACTCCTGGCTTTGCCTCTGAAGAGCTGTGTGACTTGGGGCAAGACAGTCAGCTACCCTGAGCCTTAGTTTCCTTATTTGACAAACCACACAGGCAACGTGTAAGGATCAAATGAGAGAGTGTCTATGAAATCGTTTGAAAAACCTTAAGGAAGCATCACATAAGGAGCCAGGTTCAGAGGAGGGCATGATGTTAGTCTCCTTGCTCAGTTGCCAAAGCTTAGTTTGAACTTCCATGGCTACCATCTCCCAGCCTCATAAGCACTGGGCTTTGAGTATCAGCTCACTGTCAGGAGAAATTAAACTGTAAAACATCCATCTCCTCTACACAATGTAGTCCTACACGCTCGGACTGAACAAGGAACCAGGTCACATAAATCTTGACCCAGTGAGTCTTCTCCCACACCTAACTTCTGAGTGAAAAATCAATACACCATGCAAAATGTACAGTGAGAAAGGGGCCAAAACCATCCCCTGGGTTTCACCAGGGAGAAAAGCCAATAGGGTGCATCTTCTGGCTAAGCTTATGCTTTTCATTTTTGTATATCAACACACAGGCCCCAGATGTCTTGCAGAGGGATAGGAATCTTGACCATGGTAGCCTGACTTTATCTCCAAAAGGAGAGAAATCACCCTGGTGCCAGCCCCTCAGAACCAAGGTGAGGGCTGAAATCAAAACCTGAAAGGCATAAGCCACAGGACCCCATGAAATGCCCGAGGCCATCTCCAAGAGCAAGGCTACAAAGCTTGTCTGGTTTTCTTTCATTCAAACCACAATGAATCCATCCTCCACCTTTCTAACTCCTCCCCCAGCCACAGCTACTCTTCATCTCCCTAGTTAGCCCCTAACTTTTCTCCCTTCCACCAGCAGCCTCAGAAGCCTCAGCCACCCTTCACCTGATCCAAACCACCAGCCACGTCCCAACCCGGCTCCACGGTGAGACCACGACCCACCCACCTTCCTGGTCCAGCTATGACACTGTCATAGCACTCCCACATCAGGGTCTGACAACCCCTTTGATTTGGTCCCCTCTTTCCTTAACAATCCATGGGTTCCACCACCAACCTGGCCCCTGCCTCCAGTAACATGACACTGCTGCCAACACTCAACTCAGGTCTGGTCTATAAGTCTGGCACGTTCCCAAGCCTCCCTCCCCATCATAAAATCCCAGCACCTCAGCTATGCTCCCATAAACCTCCTGGGGCCTGCCTCCCTGACCCCTTGGTCACCCCATAAACCTGCTTACCTGCCACACTCCAAACACTTCTAAAACCCTCCACCCTGGGACTTCCCTGGTGGTCCAGTGGGTAAGACTCCGTGCTCCCAATGCAGGGGGCCAGGGTTCGATCCCTGGTCGGGGAACTAGAGCCCACACACATGCTGCAACTAAGAGTTCCCATGCTGCAACTAAGGAGCCCACCTGCCGCAACTAAGGAGCCCACCTGCCGCAACTAAGACCTGGCACAGACTAAATAAATAAATAAATGTTAAAAAAAAAAAAACCTCCACTCTTTCTCAGGACCAGTCTATCTTTTCTTAAAACACTTGATATTCATTCATTCATTCAATAAGTATACATTAGGCATCTACTGGGTGTGAGGCACTGCACTAGGCACTGGAGAGGGAGCTAGGAGCTCTACAGGAGTGTATAAATGGTCAAAGCACTTTTGTAATGTTGGCCAACCCACCTCCAACACCCGTCTAGCAGACAGTATGTAACAGCAAACACACACTGAGCACTCACTATGTGCCCGGATCTGTTTTGAACACTGTGTGTGCATTATCTCATTGAATACTCAATCAGCCCAGTGAGGCAGATCCTATTACTATTTCATTTTACAGATGAGGAAATGGAACCATACAGAGGTAATAATGGAGCAGGAATGTACCAGGCCCTGCACAAAGTGCTTTACCTGTCTTACCTCATTTAAACCTCACAGGAATCCCATGAGGCAGGTTCTGGGAATATGCCCATTTTACTGAGGAAGAAACCGAGGCTTACAAAGGCTACTGATAACACATCAACAGCTAACATCTAACTGGAGCTCACTTTCTGCCAGGTCGAGTACTAAGCACTTTTCCAGCTGTATCTCATCCAATACTCACACCACCCACCGAGGCAAGTCCCCACTTCTCAGATGAGGGAACTGAGGCTCGGAAAGGCGAAACAACTCGCCCAAGGTCAGAGTGAGGAAGCTGGTAGCCCCAGGACTAGAACCCAGGTCCCTCCAACTCCAGAGATCGCGCGACTTGACCAAGGTCATACGTGAGGCAGGGACCGGCGCGGCGAGTGGACCGGGCGCCCAGCCCCAAGCCTCGCGCACCCTGCTCCGCAGCCCGGCACCCCAGCCTCACCTCGGCGCGGCCCGGTGCCTCTCCGCGCGCCCCGGGGCCGCCGGCCGCCCCGCCCGCCCCGCGCGGGCCGGCACCTCCCCGACCGCCTGTCCTCCCCGAGGCTCCTGCGGGCCGCGCCCGGCAGGGCCCACGCCGCCTCCGGCCGCTGCGGCCCTTACCGCTGTCGCCGATAATGAGCAGCTTGAAGAGGTGGTCGTAGTCCCGGGCCATGGCGGGCGGGGGAGGCGAGCGCTAGCGGGCGGGGTCGGTGCTGGCCTCGCGATCCGCAGCTCCCTCCGGGGTGCTCCGGCAGCGGCGGATCCACTTCCCGAACAAACAGCCGGAACTGACAGAAACACCTCCCTCCGCTCCCCCTCCTCCTCCTCCTCTTCAGCCGCCGCCGCCGCTGCCACCACCTCCCTCCTTCCCGCCCCGCCCCGCCACTGCGCAGGCGCAGCGTCTGGCACCGCCTCTGCGCAGCCGCGGTCGCGGCCAGCCGCGCCCTCTCCGTGCTCACGCACTGTGCATGCGCCCTGGAAGGGTCTCGCGGGTGCTGACCGGTCTTCCCTGCGTCCCGTCTGTGAACGTCGCCGCCGCCAGCCCTCCGCGGCCCCCTGCCCGGAAGTCTCGGAGAGCGGAGCTGCGGTCGAAACCTAACTGTAAGAAGCCGAGAGTGCCGGAGAAGCCCGGCCGTGGCCCGGGACGGACTCGCTTCATCTTCAAGACTCGCAAGGGCTGCGGAGAGAGAAAGACTGGCAGGCAGTGACCGGCGGGGCGGCTCTTAGGCCGAGCTCCCCGTTTCTCGGGACTGGGGACTCGGGCACTTCGCTCCCTTCTGTCTGGACGCTGCCTCCGGGGTGCTGGCACCGGGCCCTCCACTGTGTCCCGGGGCTGTGGACAGGACGCCCAGGCGGCTGGAGGCTGCGGAGTTTTACAGGACAGGAGCCGGGACGTAGTGTGTTAGGAGTGTGGCCTTTGACGTCAGCGCTGGGGCGAAGTCACATCCCAGCCCTGTGACCTCTTGAAGCCTAAGTTGCCCCGTTGGTAAAGCTGGGTGGGTGGTTCCAGATTCAGCGTCTCTTCCAGCTTGACGCAGAGCTTGGGAGATGAATGACCCGGCGTGTAAGATGCACCCCTGGGATCGACAGCAGCAGCTCCCGCGGCTTCAGTAGCACACCATCTACAGATAATACTTCTCCAGATCGCGTGGTAGGAAGACCTGGGCCGCAGAAGTTAAGCGGTATTCGGTTTATCATCAGCCCTAGGTTTTTGGGGGTTTTCCCCCGTTTTAGAGTAAGTTCCTACCTGCACTAAAAGTAGGACGCGCCTACCGCCATCCTCATTTGTAGAACTGCAGGGAAAAAATTTGTTACTTACAAGTTCTGTACAGCCCTGTCCCTTTCTAGTCAAGTACCTGTTGGATATTTCTACTTGTTTTCTCAAACTTCTTTTTATCTTGACTTCATACAAAATACTGCTTGTGGAGTTTTTTTAAATGTACAGAAGCTTACCAAAAAGCACAAGTTACTGTTTTTCCCTCAGACCCACTCCTCACAGGTAACCCCTGTTAATAAGTTTCTTGGATACCTTAAAATGCTTAACAGATATTTTCTGAATGCATAAATGTCCTTCAATGAATTTTCTTTGCCTGTGCAATCACATGTGTATGTAAGTTGCCTTTTCTCTTTAACAACATACTTAAACCTTCTGTCATTTCACAGCTGCGGGGTACTGGCACTCCATCATATGGTGGTATTTAACCACTCTGCTGTTGATAGGCATTCATGTTTATAATTTCTTGTTATTATAAACAGTGTTGCAGGGAAGATCCTTGAACAGCACATGGAGTGTCTGACTCAAACTTTGAGTTGTTTTTCCAGGAGCTGAGAATCAGCCTGGTGATGACAAAAGAACTTGGACTTGGGATCCAAAGGTACTAGCTGGGAGGGGAGCTATTCATATGATCACTGAAAAAATGCTTCTTGGTCTGGGAAAGGTTAGTGGGATCGCCTTTGATCCAACAGTTTTAGGAAATATAAGGGAAGAAAGAAGCCTCAGAGTATTCCCCAGGCAAGCACATCCTCCCCTGACCAGCCAGTGAGGCAGGTCACTGTAGATCATCTTCTCAACCTGCACTGGAATCAGAGAGACTTTGGCTCAGATGCTTTAGAATCCTGGCTCCATCTCTTAAAAGCTTCGAGATTTTGGAAAAGTCACATCACAATGTCTCAGAGCCTCAGTTTCCTCAGAATAGTTGTAAAGATTAGAGATATGTTTGCAAATTACCTGGCTCATATAGGCATGTGATAAACAGTAACTCATGCTGTTAAACCAAGGTCATTTTCCACTGACTCATTCATGCTTTCGGCCATTTCCTGTTGCAGACTCAAGCACACATGCCCAAGGCAGCCTCCTGATATCAGGGCTGTAGGATACTTTGAAGAAGTAGAACAGAATTGGCCATTATGAAGACCAGACTCCTGAATTGCCTGCCTTCTGGAAAGCAATAGGCATTAATTCCTTCATTTATTCAGGTAGCCATTTAATGAGTACTCACTATTTATTATGTGCCACAGACTATAGGATAGAGCTTTTCCCATCCAGGAGCTTTCAATCTCATTAGAGATAAGACACACTCATGAGAAATAAAATATACAAGACAATACAAGAGAGAAAATAGCTGTCAAGCAGCCTAGACTTCAGAGGAGAGCTGTCACTTTCTGCTAGAATGATGGGGAAAGGATTTCATCATAAAGATTTCATGATGGAATTGGAATTGAGAGAGCTGTGAATGGCGGGTATATTTAGATAGCTGCTGTCACAGCCGTAAGGATCATCTATTTTAGCTTTGAGGGAGAATCTCCTGCAGGCCAGGATGTGTGCCTGGCTCCAAAAATGAAACTGAGCACATTTTCCTCTAGAAACATTGTTTTAAATTATCTAAACTACAATTCAATGACTGGAGCTATGTTATGGTAGCTAGATTATAAAGTCTATATTTAGAAATAGACAAAGTTTTGTGAGGTAAGTAGCAGTAATGTGCCACTGATGGGAAACTTTGTTCCACTGTTCTGAACAGCCAGCTTACAGATGAGCTTTGCAGTACCACCTGTTCATACATTAGAAACTACAATAGGGAGGCATTGAAAGTTCTTGAGCAGAGGAGCAATATCAAAATCTTTGGGGAAAGTTACCTGGTGCAAGCATGCAGGACGGATTTCAGCTGCAGAGCTTTAAAGGTTACTGCCGAAGCCCAGGTGTGAGGTAACAGCAGGAAGGGACAGATGCAAAAGATAGTATGCAAACGATATCTACCAAATTAGTGTTTTTTAAAAAATCACATAGGGAATTCCCTGGTGGTCCAGTGGTTAGGACTCTGCACTTCCACTGCAGGGGCCCGGGTTTGATCCCTGGTCAGGGAACTAAGATCCCACAAGCCACGTGGCACAGCCAAAAAAAAAAAAAAAAAAAAAAAAAAAAAACAAAAATTAACAACAGTGACAGGCCCGTGTACCGCAACAGCCAAAAAAAAAAAAAAAAAAAAGATAAAAATCACAAAATTTACCTGACAACTGGATTCCTTTGCTAATTCAGTAAGTACTGTGTGCCTACTAGGTGCCAGGCACTGAGGATGTAACAGGAGCAAAACAAAGGCCCACCCTCGAGGAGCTTATGGTACAATTGGGGAAGATGAGTCAACGTACATTTGAGGGCTTACTGTGTGCCAGGCACTGATGGAGGAGCTGGAGATGTAGCAGTAAATAAAGCTTTAAAATCCCTGCTTCTGTGGAGCTTACATTCTGAGAATGCAAATATGTGTTAAAAGGAAAAACCAAGGAGTAAGGGGGACAGGAGTGTACACAGGTTTACAGAACAGAAAGTGATGCCGTGGAGGGGTGGGTATATACTGTTCATTCAATAAGTTTGATTGTGAATGAAAAGAGAAATGGAGTGGCTGGTGAGAACAGTGGGGTGAATAAAGTATTTTTCAGGATAGCGTAGGTAGAGGATTGGCAGCCAGTGAACAGTAAGGACTGAGCAGTAAGGGTAGAAGGAAGATGGGTTAAGAGCACTTTAAAAAGCTCAACTGGCAAAGAGGAGAGGAAAGAAATGTGGTGTCAGAGGCTGAGGGTAAAGGAGAGGGACCCTCATGCCTGAGGTGCCTCAGGGTAGCAGTAGGAGAGATGAGGGCCAGTGTGGCAGAGGCCTGGAGGGAACCTGTGAAATCCACAATTCAGACTGGTCAGCAATGGATTCTAAAGTTGCTGAAATAGGTATCGAAGGAGGAAGCATATGCTGCAATCACGTAATGCGGGAATTCGGTGTAAACAAGAATTGAGAGGGCAGGTACGCTGAATGTCGGACTTCAAATGAGGAGTGGGATGGGGCACCGTCCAACATGCTGGTCCAAGAGGGAAGGACTAAAGGGAACCATGTGGTCTCTCCCTTTGATGGGACTGGGAATTGGCCCTTTACCCCTCACCTGCATGCCTGAGGCCATATCAAGAGACTTGGCAATCGCTTTGCCCTGCGCTTTGGCAGCCCCCTCAAATCAAGTGACCATGAAGTTCCTTGATTGCAGGATGATCCTTGACCATCCTGATATCCACTGGGGACTAGCACATGGTAGGCACTTGGTTTCTGTTCAGTTAAAGTGAAGCGATACACAGAATTTAAAGAGTTAGAAGGAACATCAGAAATAATCCAGTTAAAAAAAAAAAGAATCTGGTTGAACTCTCTTGGAATTTGCTTTCTTGAGGTGTGGGCCAAATTTGGGGTCTGTCACATTATCAGGGTCAAACCCCCTCCCACTAAACCGTTCAGTAGGATTTTTCTCCCATCTTCGAGATTACCGTTTTCAAAGTACTGGCTGGGGACACCAGGACTCCCTATGACCCTTTCAAAGGATCTGTGAAGTTGAAACATTTTCACAATACTGAGATGTCATTTGCCTTTTCCACTCATTCCTTACAAGTGTACAGTGGAGTTTTCCAGCGCCTGCATGATATGCGACATTGCAACAGACTGAATGCAGAAGGAGACATGAGAATCCAGAAGTGAAGAGGCTTGCAAAAATGCAGAGCAATGCCACTCTCCTCATTAAAATGGCTTTTGGGAGATGCAAGAGGGAAAACATGGGAACATATGTATATGTATAACTGATTCACTTTGTTATAAAGCAGAAACTGACACACCATTGTAAAACAATTATACTCTAATAAAGATGTTAAAAAAAAAAAACCCAACACAGCCAAAAATAAATTTAAAATTTTTTAAATATAAATAAATAAAATGGCTTGTTTTGGAAAAAATACCTGTTATGGCTA